TTATTGAACTACTTTGGCAAAGATCTTGTTGATTTGATGAAGTAAAAAATAAAGTCAAAGGCTACTTTGTGGCAGTCAAAGGTCACTTAGATACACTACTGCAAAAAAGGCTTTTTACATCGGTTAAAATGGGCTTTCTACGTCGGTTAAAGCGGCGACATAGATACGGGGGTCATAGAAAGTAAGGCTTTCTACGTCGGTTCCTAATAACCGACGTAGAAAGTAAGACTTTCTACGTCGGTTCCTAGGAACCGACGTAGAAAGCCCTACTTTCTATGAGCTATTATGATCGGTCAAACTGGTTTTGATCGGTCATAGAGCTATACTGATCGATCATAGCTGGTTCTGATCGGTCATAGGAAGACTTTCTACGTCGGTTAGTCAGGGAACTGACGTAGAAAGTCTTACTTTGTATGAGCTATTCTGATCGGTCACAACTGGTTCTGATCGGTCATAATACTTTCTATGTCGGTTAACACTGATAACCGACATAGAAAGTCTTACTTTCAATGTCGGTTAAACTTATAACCGACATAGAAAGTCTTACTTTCTAACTTTCTATAACCCCAGTATCTATATCGGTTAACAGTAACCGTGATTGTATGTGTTATCAATGTCGGTTATGCCTATAACCGACATAAAATGTTAAACTTTCTACGTCGGTTATGTCAATACCCGACGTAGAAAGTACTTTCTACGTCGGGTAATGGCATAACCGACGTAGAAAATGTTATTTTTTTTTTAAATCTGCATTTTCTTCACAGATGCTACCTTTCTTCGAGTAGACCTGCCTATTCATCACAGTTCCAGACAAATATTCACAGATCCAGTACAGACAGATATGCACAGTTCATATATAAATTTGCTACAGATATATATCCAGTACAGACAGATCCTGTTGCAGCATGATATGTACATATGAAACACATTGAAATCAATATATGTACAGACAGATCCGAGTTCCGGACAATTCATTTACTTAAACGAATGTAAATTTCCTAACTTAAATCAATTCAATCTAAATTGTTACAAGTCAAATTTCCTATGAAGATTGAATGCTTAAAAGGAAAGAAGCCCATTGCTCTCTAATATCGTCTAAGACTTCAATCTTCATTGGAGATGAGTCTCGTAAATTCCTACATATTGAAACATTTCAGATTTAGAAATCATTTACATAATTGGCATATTTGACTTAATTATAGTATATTTACCTCCCTCCACGTGTCAAGAATATTTTTGGCTATGATGGTGTGCATGTGCTTCATCACATAATACCCGCACTCATGGCTTCCCGGTTGGCGTGGACATTACAAGTTAAATACATGTCAGATTAACTTTAAATGACAAATTGAACAACAGTAAGAGGTGTTTGGTCACTGTCGCCGCCGTCCCGAGAAGGGGAGAATGGCGGTCGGAGCGACGCGATGGTTTTCCGACTCTTATTTCTTTTGTAATCGCGTTTTCTATTGGTTACAACGCTTTCAGTTGTCCGATAACCGGGCTAACTTAAAAGCGAGGTTTTTGAAAAAGGGTCTTTGGGTTGTCCGGTAACCGGGCTAACCCTAAAGACTTATTTTTATGGGTTCTATGGAGTCGCCACCGACGTTTTTACCAGAAACACCAGAAAAGGGGTAAAAGAAGGCGTTGGTTTTCAAAAACCAACTTTGGTCCGTTAAAACCAGAGTTGGGTAAGGGAGTTAGTTACGTGTAAAGAGGGTATTAGCCCCTTTACAACGCCCCTTTCGGGTTCCCTATGACAGGCCGACTTATTTTATTGGTAAATGAACTAGAAAAGTATGCTTTTGCCCTGTTTATTATGCGGTATTTAAAGGTATGACTACATGGCCCTAATTTTTATTGCAGCATTTGTAATTAAAGCGGTAAAAATAAGAAGAGAGAATTTTGCACCTTCGAAGCAAGCTTTTTGTATTAAATCTCTAAAAATTGGGTGTGTTTTGGCAGCCCTTCACTCTACAAAATCTCAGAAACTCCGGAAATGCCTCGGAGGGATTCTAAAGAAGATTTAGAACGCTCAGAATTCTACTAAAGACGCTCAGAAACTCCGGAAATGCCTCGGAGGGATTCTAGAGAGAGAAAATCTAGAGAGAAGGAGGAGCTAGAAGCTTGTGGTGTGTGGAATGAGGGGGAGGGGACCCCTATTTATAGTTTTTCGGGCCTGACAGGGTCCAGAACGCCGTTCTCATCTGACAGGGCCAGACCGCCGTCTGGACAGCCGGGAACGCCGTCTGGGCCTGCTGCAGGTGACCAGACCGCCGTCTGGACAGTCGAGAACGCCGTCTGGCCTTTTGCGCGAGGGCAGACGGCGTTCTGGGTGTTCCAGACGGCGTTCTCATTCCTTAAAGGCGAGAAAACTTATTTCTATGCAGAAAAAACCTCCTATCCTAGTATGGGAGCCTAATAGTCTCTCCTAGTGGCTTGTTAGGCTTCGTCCATCTTCAAATAGTGGTTTTCTGGTCCTTTATTTTGGAGGCCGGGCAAGATTTGGGGTCTACAGCTGCCCCCCCTTTACCTGACTAGTCGGCTGTTGGCCTATTGTGCCAGGCAGATCGATAGGAAGGTAAAGGAGTTGACCCTCTTGCCCGGTTGGTCCTTCAGATCGTTCGCCCTTTGCAGCGGATGATCCTCTGGGGAAAAGATGTTGTGTCGTGCACCTTCAGGATACTACTTCTGACGTAGCCGATCCCGTTGGTTAACACATGGTAGAACCTCTGGATACCCCTTCTGTCGGTGGCCGATCCTTCGGTTGATGGGTATAAACCCCCCATCAGGCTGGTAGTCGCAGTCCGTTGTGTGGGACTGGATGGGTATGACCCCCCATCAGGGTGGTAGTGGTACTTCCTTGGGGAGTCATGCGCCGGGCAGGCGCAATCGTATGCGTAGGTTGATAGGTATAAACCCCCTATCAGGCTGGCAAAGGTGCAGTCCGTTGGTTACTCCACTGGGGACTGGATGGGTATGATCCCCCCATCAGGGTGGTAGCTTGCAGTCCGTTGTGTGGGACTGGACGGGTATGACCCCCCATCAGGGTGGTAGTTGCAGCTTCACTGGGGACCCAGGTGTAATCGTGTACGTAGGTTGATAGGTAAAACCCCCTATCAGGCTGGTACAGTCCTCAGCGTAGGACTGGCGGTAGTGGCGGCTTACAGTTCAGTTGGCCCATGCGCCCTTAGGGCACTCCTTGTGTGCTGGTTGGTAGGTATGATCCCCCTATCGGGCTGGTACAGTCCTCAGTGCAGGACTGGCGGTGGTGGCGGCTTACAGTTCAGGTGGCCCATGCGCCCGTCCCTTGGTGGAGTGTTTTCTGTTGGTAGATGTACTTTGGAGTGGTCATCCGGGCTGTGCCGGGGATTCTTATGTTTCATCCAGCTTCGTTGGTCGTTGGGGATTCTTTGTTTTTGACTCCTTTGGTAGTGGTCATCCGACTTTGCTGGTTGTCGGGGGGTTTTGTTTGTTGATCGACTTTTTACTTGGTAGTCGAAGTTTGGTGGGTTGGCTTGTCTTAATCCAGCCTTTTTCTCGCGGTTTTATCTTTTTTTTCCCGCGAATTTGGATTTTGGCTTTTTATTTGAGCGCGTGCCCCTTTTTCTTTTTTTTTTCTTTTTTTTTTAAACTCTTCTTTCTACGCTGGCTTTTTCGAAAGGGTGGCAAATAAAATATATAAAATTTTATTTATGGCAAATTTTATTACAACCACTTTGGGTACATATTCCTAAGGGCTATGCTCTGGAGACGACCCGGGGAAGTGCTGGTAGAAGTGATATCGGAGGTCCGCCTGCTCTCGGGCCTCTTCGCGGTACTCATGCTGGAATGTCGTCCATTCCTGCCGCATCACCTGTAGATGTTGGCGCATCTCTTCCTGCCGGGTGTCGAAGGCGTCCTGCCTTTGGGACATCTGTCCTTGCCATACCGACAGCTGGGAAAGCTGCTAGCTTAGATCGCTCATGTGGCGATGCATGCCCGCGTAGTCGTCGGTGTATGGCGATGGTTGTTGTTGTTGTTGCTGCTGCTGCTGCTGGAACTCGGGAGGCGTGGGCATATCCTGCATCGGCACGATTCCTTGGAGGTCTAGTGCGAAGTCCAAGGTGGGATGCAGGGCCAACTGGGTTCCCCGGCGAATCAGCATCCCCATGCTGACTAGGACCGAACCGTTGATGGGTTCGGGTCTCAGGTTGGAGGCCAGTTCTTCCCGGCCGGGGCACCCCCATCTCTCTGCTAGAGGGGTGATTAAAGGAGCCATGAGGACAGCCCCTGCGGATCTATTCCCGAAGTCCTTGAGGGCTTTCAGGAAGAAGTACCCGGGGTTACAGCGCCGTTTTTGGCTCATGCAGTAGAGCACAAAGAGGTCAGAGATGGACACCTTACCCTGACTCTCTTTCCTCCCGTGGATGGTGCCTGCCAGCAGCTTGTGGCAGATGCGGAGTTCTGGGGACAGCGCGGAGCCCTCATCAGCGTCGGCAGCGTGGTGGCCCCCGTGAGATCCTGCCACATCTCGGAGGCAGTAAGGTTGGTGGGCCGTGAGCAGATAGCCTCACGGTAGCTCTGGGTGATGGTGTCCTCGGGCTTGACGAACCCGATGGCCATGTTGAATTCATCAAGGGTGGTCGTGTGATAGGTACCACCCACGAAATAAGTCACCATCCTGGTGGGTTGCAGGCCCGGGACGGTGGAAGGGACCTCGGAATAGGAGACAGAGGCCAAAAACTCGAGTACCGCCTGGGGGTACACGTGTACAGGTGGGGGTTGCAGCAGGAAGCCCCACCCGATGCTGTCAATGCGGGCCCGGACCTCGTCCTCCCATCCGAACTCTGCCAGGATGTTGAAGTCCAGCATGAACATGGGGTGCCACTGATAGTTCTGGATATTATCCAGACGGGCTTGGTGTTGTGGTGTCAGCTGGGATGGATCCTGGGGAGGCGGTGCTGCCGAACTACTAGCACCGGCGGTGCTCCTTCTCTTCCTGGATGCGCTTCTTCCGAACATTATGGCCAGGAGGTGTTTAGAAGGCAAGAGATCAGAGAAATTGGAGTTCTGGAGGCAAGGAGAGTTGTGAGAAACCCCCTAGGCGCGCCTCCCTTATATAGCCAAAAAACCAACTTCGGGACCGCCGTCTGGACGGGCGAGACGGCGGTCTGGGTTTGCTTCCGGAGGGAGACGGCGGTCTGGGACGTCGAGACCGCCGTTGGGTTTTGTTGCACACTGGGACGGCGTTCTGGAGACTCCAGACGGCATTCTGGGTTTCTGGGTGCACCGAGACGGCGTTCTAGATGGCCCAGACGACGTTCTGGGTTTCTGGAAGATTTTTTTTTTTTTTTTTTTGAAGCAACAGAAAATAGGACCTGGTTCAAAAACATTTTATGCGTGCAATGTTTTTGTGTTTGATGTCCTATAATGCCTACTCTTGGTTAAATTTTAAGAAGGATTAACCGACGTGTCTTGTTGCGCCGAATGCCCTCCTGTCTGCGTTTTTGTGTTTGCTGTACCTTGCCGGTTCTGCTGTGACCGAAGTACTATTTGTTTTTTTCCTTTTTCTTCTTTCTCTCTTTTTTTCTTCTTCTTTTTTTCTTTTGGTAGAGCACCCTTTTTCATGTAGTACCCCTTTTTCCTCGTCCTAGGGATTTCAATCCTCTTGTTGACTATACGCCTCCACATTCCCAAATTAATTAGTATATTTTTTTGTGTGAGGGCCAAGAGAAAAGAAGTAAAGGGGATAATTTCAATGGTTTGTGTTTTAGAGTGTTGTTTTTATTGGAAAGTAGTTTTTTTGTAAGAATGGCTGGTTAGGGTTAGGTTTAAGTGTTTAAGCTTTTGGTCTAAGCGAACATTTTCCCTTCCTTTTGTATTTGCGCCTTTTGGTTTTATTGCTATCGCTTTTTGTGGCTAGTTGATTTCCCTAGATCGCCCTTTGGGTTTTCGAACTAGGATACTGTGCTTTGGTCCTAACTTTTGTCTAGGTTCCTTCTTTTGGTATTTTTTAGGGAATCCTAGCAGACCTTATTTTGTGACCCTAACTTTTGCCTAGGCTACCCTTTATTGTTGTTCGGGTGTCCTACCGGGTCGCTTGCCCTCTCTTTTTCGGCCTTTGGCTTCTCTGGGCTTTCTCTCCTCCCTTGTTATGATTTTATTTTTTGTTTATAGTATTGGCGAAGCAAGACTTTCTTTATGGATGAGGTAAAGTCTTATTATTTTTTCATACTTCTGTTCAACTAGCTTGATGGCACTAGCGATGGTAACTGTTGATTGTTTGAATGCGCATCTTATTCTTTTTTTTTTGTTTACTTAGACAAGGTTATTTACGTGGTCCAGTCATAAGTAGAGAGAAAAGAAGGAGATAGTAAGAATAATTCTTTATTAATTAATAAGGGAATGTGTGCCCTAAGATGCCCGGGGGTCGGGCTCGCCCCGGGGGATAGTCTCTAACAATCATGGGGTTTACATCCCTTAAACAAAGAAAAAGACTTCCTAATGACTAAGGTAGCTCTTGACGCTTGCACCCCTCCACTTCGGAAAATCTGCTTGGGTGTGCGGAGGGGGGACTTCCCTTTCCTTCTTTCCGCTCGGCCCCTAGTAGGGTCGTATCCTAGGCCACGCTTGCAAGGATTGTCTTTGAATTCTGGGGGTTCCCTCATGCCTTGGGAATCTGCCCCCAATCCTTGGCCAGGATGGTAACCGTGCTTCAACATCATGCGGGCTACCTTTGTGTTTCTGGGAAGTCGCTCTATGCTGGCAATTTCGAGCGCTTGAAAAGATGTTTCAAGGGCCTCTTCAGCCGCATCCACATAGGGCTGGGTGGACGGTCCACTGATCAGGATGTCATCTTCTGCCTGAACAGTGACCAACTTGTCGTCCACTATGAACTTGACTTTCTGGTGGAGCGTTGAAGGTACTGCCTTAGAGTCATGAATCCAAGGCCTGCCGAGGAGACAGCTATACGCTGGAGTAATATCCATGACATGGAAATCGACGTTGAAGATAGTGGGTCCAACTTGGATTGGCAAATTAACTTCTCCCACCACTTCTTGTTTGGATCCGTCGAAGGCTCGAACGATGGTGTTGCTTGGGCGCAAGCGGGTTCCTTGAATAGTTAACTTATCCAATGTGCACTTGGGCATTACGTTTAAAGACGATCCGTTGTCCACAAGAACTTTGGCGATAAGGTACTCCTTGCATTTAACCGAGATATGCAAGGGCTTGTTATGATTTGCCCCCTCGAGGGGAAGTTCTTCTGCCGTGAAGGTGAGGTGATCGCTCGCCGTGATGTGACCGACGATCCTCTCAACTTTTTCTTGGGATATGGTATGAGGTACGTGCGCCTCGCTCAAGACCTTCAGCAGGGCGTTGCGGTGCGGTTCCGAGCTCGTAATCAAAGATAACAAGGTTATCTTTGCAGGTGTGCGATTGAGCTGGTCTATAATGGAATACTCACTCTGCCTTATGAATTGGAGTAATTCCTCTGTCTCCTCCTTGGATTCCTTATTCTCTTTTCCTTCTTCGGTCTTTTCTTTATTTTTTCCTTTATTTTGAAGGACATTTTCCTATGTGTCCTTGGGGGAGTAGATTCTTCCGCTTCTAGTCGTGCCCCCAATACCGGCTATATTTGTTATTTCTTCTTTTACTGGTGAAGATTCCCCGTATCTCCACGGTACAGCTTTATTTGATTCATAGGGAAACGGACGTGGCATAAAAAGTCGCACTGGCGTCCTTACCCCTTCTTCTATACTCTTGAGAACCAACGGCCGAGGCTTACTTTCCTCTGGTTGCGAATCGACCGTTGGAGTAATCTTTATTAGGAGCGGCTTTCTCTCCATTCTTCTGATTTGGAAGACACGTTAGTTAATCCTTTATCTTATTTGTTAAGTGTGAAGGAGGGGAAATTTTTAAATATGCAAATGAATGCTTATGTATGCAAGTGGACAGTCATTTGAAAAGAAGATTTTATTCATTTCAACAAGAAGGTGTACATTCCCCTATTCTATACTGCGAAGCAGCTTTTGACAAAAGCGGAAAACTTTGAAGAAACCCACAGGCGGTTCTTGATTCCTCTGTAGTTCCCTCTCAGCTTCCCGAACGTGAAAAGAAAGCGCTTCGCTTTGTTTGTGGACCGCCTGGCTCATATCTTCGCTGTACTTTTGAGCCTCTTTTATCTTCGCCTCTTGATGGCTAACCAAGGCTTGTAGTTCATCGAGCTTTTCGGTGACTCGGTTCTTCTCTTGTAATAGTTCGTCATACTGAGCTAGCCCGTGTCTTTCTTTGGAGCGTAGCTCAAGGAGAGTTCTGTTGAGTTTGTGGTTGGTCTCTCTCTCCTGACGGATGTCTAACCGAGTTTTGTAGAGCTCTTGCGACAAGTCCTCGACCATCTTGGCCTGCTTTGCAGATTCGGGCTCAAGGTGTGCTGCTCTGGCGGCGATTTCCTGGAGCTGGCTATCCGAGCTGGTTCTGGCAGTTTTGGATGCTCGGATAGCTTGTTCAGTAGAATCGGCACATTGGTCCTTGAGGCGCTCTATTTCATGATCCTTTCTCTTGCCCTGCCTCCTCAGGCTATCTATTGTGAGGATGGATTCTTGTTCTTTCTCTTCAAGGGCCCTCATCTGGGCTCCCATAATCTCTATCCTCTTGGTCAGGGCGTCGATCTGAGCCTGCAGCCCTTCATTGTTGGCGCTCGTAGTAGGTGTGGGGGATGGTTGAGACATCCCTCTTCTTCTCCTTTCTGCCTCGTAGTCACTAGTGGTAGCCACCCGTGCTTTTCCGAGCTCTCTGTCTCCCACGTAGACTGGCTTCTCCCATGCTTTTCTCACAGTGGGTGAGTTGGCGATGGCGCATGGATCTCCAAAGAAGCACAACCCTCCGAGTTCCCCTCTGGAAATAGGAGTTTGGGTCCTCATGAGCTGTCTCATAGCTACCCTAGGTGAGTAGGCTATGCAACCCCTGAGTCCTATCAAGGGTACGTTCGGGTAATCTCCACATCGGATGAGTACTGGGCCAGGCCGGAACCACGGGCAGACCCAAGTTACGCTGTTGGTGTCTTTCTGTTCCAGCTCGTCCCTCCACTCTGAAGTTAGGCGGCGTTGGAGGGGGATCTTGGAGAAGTTCCTCAAAGGATCGGGGAATATCCCCCCATGTGGCTAGAGGCGTAAAGGTGCGTGATACTCCACACAAATAGCAATGAAGAGCAGCAGCGAAGTGTTTTTCCTTGCTTCCGGTGGCAGAATTCTACCGAAAGCAAGGTATCAGCAAGGATCGCAGGCAAGGGACTCTTTGAGTGCACGTCCCAGGCGAAGAAGGCATCCATAACGGCCTGATCTATAGTGTCTAGATGAAAGGGGAACAAAATGGTTCCGAAGATGATGAGTGCCAGGGTCTTGTTGAAGGCAATCCACTCTGCCCGTTCTGCCAGGTAGGACAGGTGATCTTCTAGCATAGAAACTTTCCAACCCTGGTTGTTCCCTTTTCGGATCAGGGTGTTCTGCCAGACTGGCAATTGAATGAGGGCGGCGATAGGTGCCACAGGAGTGTACGCCCCGTGGCGAACATGGACCCCAGCTGATTTGGGCCATCTTAACATTACCTCATATTCCTCTAGAGTGGGCACCATGTCAAACTGCGGAAATTCAAAACATCGCAGATTCGAGTTCCAGAAAAATATTAACGCCCTTAGAAACACCTGATCGACGCTAATTCTCAACAGGTCCAAAATTCGTCCATAGGATTTCTCGAAGTCGGCGCGGACTTCGGACGGCATTGCAGCACTAAGCCGTTCCAACCTCTCATTATTGAAACGGGGAATGTCTACCTTCTTGGGCTGTCTGCTAGTCCCCTCCATTTTTCTAGAAAAAATGCATGTTATGAAGATGATGTTTATTGAGAGTGTTTATTTTTCTATTTATCATGTTTTCCTACATGATGTATGGTATTTGCTTATTTTTTGAAAAATAAACTATCTATATGAATGTTTTTATGAATGTAATATTTTGAACCAGGTCTTATTCATGGTTTTTGAAATCAAATTTTTGATTTTATTTGATTTTTATTTGTTTTATTTTATAGCCTTTTATCTCTTCTGTCGGAACTGCGTGGCTTACTTAGCTTACAAAGAACCTGAAACCAGGCTAGCTAAAAGGCAGACTGTCCGAGATAAAATATGGCTTTATGCAAAAAAAACGTTTAACGTCCCTTATCTCTTCTGTCGGAACTGCGTGGCTACTTAGCTTACAAAGAACCTGAAACCAGGCTAGCTAAAAGGCAGACTGTCCGAGATAAGGGTGTTTATTTGGAAAAAATATTTTTTTTATTTT